CTGGTATCGCAAAATCAAGTCCATCTTATTGATGACTCGTGAAGAGGTGCAGTGAGTTACTAAGAGTAGCAAAATTAACTTCATCAATCAGGATGTGTATTGAGCACCCACTACGTGCCAGGTGCCATGCCAGATGCTGAGAAATACAACGCGATCAATGAGACAGACCTAGTGTCAAGTATAGACTGGTGGGGAAGAAAGATGGGAAGCAAATGAGCATAAGTGCTGTGGTCAGCATCATTTGAAATAGCAAAGTGTCAGGGAGCAAAGACAAGCCAGGTCCTCCCTACTCTGCTGCATCAGCAATGGATATGTCTTCTCTATTGGGGCCTGGCCTTTGGGCTCTATTCTCCTGTATCATAGGAGGACATTGGTGGGCTCTCCGTGAACTGAAGAAACCAGTGCTGCTTCTCTACCTGTGCAATGAATGACAGCCCTACTCATTTCAGGAAATAACTCATTCTAACTTACTATATTGAACAAATTGACTTACATACCATGACAAAAATGTATAGTGCTTACTATAAACTAAGCATATTCTCATCACTTAATAGCCACTAACCAAAGCAAAATTAAAATATCTGATACATTTCAAAGTTCTGGTTTGCTAAAGCAGGCCATGAAATTAGAAAAAAAAAAAAAAAGGCACTGCCTGGTATGGTCGCATCTGACTATAGTCCCAACTACCTGGGAGGATCTCCTGAACCCAGAAGTTTGTGGCTACAGTGAGCTGTGATCACACCTGTGAATAGCCACTGCCTTCCAGCCTGGGCAACATAGTGAGATCTCATCTCTAAAAAGTTTAAAAATTAAAAATATAAATAAATAAGTGGCACTAGAAAATCAAATTTATTTATTTATTAAATACTTAACTGCATTTTTATAACAAGATCAGTAACAATTTTTTCTGTGCTTACTATGTGCAAAGTTGGGTGAAGGGCTTTGTATGTGCGGGTGCTATTTGATCCTCTCAAACAGTCCTAGGACACTGGTACTGGCATTTTCCCCACTTTCCGTATAAGAAAAGTGAACTCAGAAAGGTTGAATGATTTGCTCAAGGTCTCAAAGTTGGTGAATGACTCAGCCCAGAATCAAAACCTGATTGTCTGAATCCAGAATGGGAACATGGAAACACCACATAGTGTGTCCCTGCTACAGAGAACAAAGTTCCACCATTC